ATCTAGATAGACATTTAGAGATAATAATATGCACAAACACAAGTCCAAGCAAAACAAAGCAACAATAGAAAATAACACAATAGCTCCAACAACAATGAAAAAAAAAGAAAGAAAAGCTTGTAAATAGTTTTAGGTCTATTTGTTGTCCTTTACGAGTGTTTTCCAGTGGAGTCTGATGGGGCGCCATGCCCTGGCCCCACAGTCTATTTTTGGTGTTCCCCAAGGACTTCATTGCTCTGTTCCCCTTGCTGCTCTGTTGTATGCCCTTAGTGCTTTGCCTCTATGTGGTGGGGTCCAAGCGGGCACAATTCCCTCAGTGTGTGTCCAGTGTGGTCCCCAATAGTGCTATGGATCAGTGAGGGATATCGTGTCTTCTGGTGAGGCCGGCCCTGTGGTCCTCTCTGTGCATTGGCTTTATGCAGCAGATTTACCCAACGCAAGGCATCATTTGATTTCTTGACTGCTGCTTCCATGAGCATTGATTAAATCCATGACAATTTAAGTCCAAGAAAGATTAAATCCATGACAACGTCTATCTTTTCTGCATTTATCATGAAGTCCCTACTGATCCAGTTGTGATGGTTTTTGGTTTTTGCTTAATATCAAGTTGTAATCCATGGCAGAGACTGCAGTCCTCAATCTTCATCAGCAAGTATTTCACGTCCTCCTCACTTAGCAAGCAAGGTGTGTCATCTGTTTATCTCAGATTGTTAATCCGCCTTCCTCCAATCCTGCTGCCAATTCTATCTATATAATCCAGCTTCTTTGACTTGCTCAGCATACAAATTGAATATGAATGGTAAACGGATGCAACCCTGACACCTTTCCTGATCTTGAACTATGCAATATGTCCTTGTTCTGTTCATATAACTGCCTCTTCCCCCACACCTCCGAACCTGTTTATTAGGAGCTAATGCAGACATCATACCATTCCATAGTACAATCACATCACACAGTATTGTACAATTGTTACCGAACTCAATTTCAAAAAATTTCTCCCTTCTTGAATTCCTTGATAACAGCTCCCCTTTGTCCCCCACCAGACCCCCCCAAGAACACTTATTCTAGTTGTTGCCTCTATAGTTTCATCTCTCCTTGGTTTCATATACCGAAATGCTTAATGAAACATTAACAAAGATTCAAGATGGCTATAAAAATAACACAATAAAATAGAGATAAACCCTAATGTGAAAAAAACCACACATAGAAAATATTAAAATCATATCAAGCCAAAAGTGTATGTCAATGGAGAGATCAAGTGAGACGGTTTTAACCATTCAAGTCAGAATTATCATTTTAATCTCCTACTGTCGTCTCTGCATCCTCTCTGTGTGGTAGTCAGTTTATTCCCATCCCCCCTGTGAATATCCTGAAAATGTATTTTGGGCTTCCACTGTCCTCCATAGCCTTCTGCACACCAGAATCTCACAGTTTAAGCTCCGATATTATTCCCTCCTTTGGATTTGGATTATATAATTTATAATCATTTGGTCATGAATGTTGGTGTGCTTCTTCCAACAAATGCCTCTGGATCCATGCACTGGTTCCACATCAGCACAATGAAGTGCTCTAGGATTCCCATTCTCCTCAAGGTTATCCATAGTTTGTTATGGTTCACAGAATCTGTTGCGGTAGCATAATCAATAAAACAAAAGTAAATATCTTTCCCGTATCCTCTGCTTTCAGCCAAGATCTATCTCTTAGCAATGACATACCTTGTTCCACATCCTCTTCTGTATCTGGCCTGAGCCTCTGTCAGCTGCCTGTCACCCTGTCCTACTGCAATCCTTGTTGGATGATCTTCAGAAAAATTTTACTTGCAGGTGATGTTAATGATATTGTTCTACAATTTATTTGTGCATTCTGTTGGGTCACCTTGGCATGGGTAAAATTTGGATCTCTTCCAACCATTTGGCCAAGAAGTAGTCTTCCAAATTGCTTGTACATGCTTAGACAAATGAGACGACCATTAGAAGTGCCTCCAGTGCTTCATCAGCCTGGTGAAACATTTCAATTGATATTGCGTCAATTTTTGGCTAATGCTTTCAGTGTAGCTTGAATTTCTTCCTTCAGTACCATTGACTCTTGCTCATATACTACCTCCTGAAATGGTGGAATATTGACTAGTTCTTTTTGGCAGGACTCTGTGTGTTTTTATCATCTTCTTTTGATGCTTTATGCATAATTCAATATTTTGCTCACATCATCTTTTAATACTGCAATTGAAGGCTTAGATTTTTCTTGAGTTTTTTCAATGTAAGATATACTGAGTGTGTTCTTCCAATAAAGCAATGCAAAAGTGGTAAGACTGAATCCTGACAAAAGAAGAAAATTTAAGAGAGCTGGGAAATAAGGTAGTCCTATTGCATTCTGGCTCTCGCTGTTTGTCCTGTTGCATTCTGGCTCTCGCTGTTTGTCCTATTGCATTCTGGCACTATAATTTGGGATAATATTCCAAATTTTCATGTTTACTTCAATAATGCCTGTGGTTACCTTAAGAGTAATTAATGTAGATAGACTCGTTCTTCAGGGATAGCCCCTCTCCCCCTCCACAAGAAGAAGGCAGGTATATTTGTCACTGTTGCCAAACTTAGTGCAGCAGGATGCAAAGTGGCTGACAGAGAATTAGATACCACCGAGGAGAAGTGATATTTACAGAAATATATAAAAGAAGCATAGTTTAAGAAATAAAAAAACTTACGTAAGCTCCCCAGGGATGGCAGTTAAGGCCAAGGACCCAAGAGTAATAAGCTGAACATCGACAATATCTGGATGCCAAGGATGTGGTTTTGTCAGCTGAGAACACAAAACACAAAAATCATGTTAATTCTTTCTGTGGTGAAGAGACATGTATGGTCACAAAAAGTTCTATATTAAAGGATTTAAAATGTTTTAAACTGGTTGGGTCTTTCACCCAAATTTTTCTTTCTAATTCATGATACAGTATTAAATATTCTAAATGGGTATTTATGTCATCTTCATGGCACATGGCTCTCAAATGCCAAATCCCATTTATACGGTCTTACTTTCTCATCAATGAGATTCTGGGTGGATTTGTCATTGCGGGATCACAGCATGTAACAAAAAACTGAGGATTCTTCTACTATACTCGGTTAACTTCTTTGATACATGTATTAGTCTGGGTACTTTGGAGAAACAAATCCACAGCGACTCATGTATAAGAGAGAGTTTTAGGTAAAGAAAATGTGCATCACGAAAACATCCCAACCCAATGCTGCCCAAGCCCACAAGTCCAACATTAACCCAACACCAGTCCACAAAGTCCTCCACCTCACAAAACAGAGGCAATAATGCCGACTGCAGGAGGAAAGCTGAGTCAGTGAACGAATAAGCATCTCAGCACTAGCAGGGGTCTCCACATGGCTGCTCAGCACCCAGAACTGCATCAGGATAGGTCCATGTAGCTTCTCCTTGGGGATGTCTTGTAGGAAGTCAATCTTGCTAGCTGAAGCCGGGAACTGCTAAGGCAGCTGCACCCGGTGCAACCATCACAAAACAAGAGACCCGAGAACTAGAAAGGCGAGGCTCACCATCCATTTATCCGTGTGCCTTTCAATTAGCCCCACATGTGATTATCAGCCAGGTTGGCACAATTAACTAACTCAATACAATAAGTAAAGAGTCTGTTACAGGAATTCCATAATTAGGATAGATTAAATTAAGAGTTTCTTTCTACTGTGATACAGTCAAGCTTTCTGTTGCCATGTCTTGCCTTATTCTCCAGAGGGTCTCGAAAAGAATGTATCCTTTTCCAAATTCAAATTGATATCGAACCTTCCCCTCCATTTCCTTCCTTTCCTATCTTCTCTCCTATGAATTTTCATTAAATATTACCAATTCTTCTGTTGTTGTTCTTGTTGTTGCTTTAATTTTCTATGTAGGCAAACACTGACATTATCTTTTAACATTTACAATGTAAAACTACATGTTCCAGAGCAGTGTTAAAAGATTGCTTTAGTTAATAATGTTGCCTGAATTGTAAGAAAATGGAGACAGGACTGTGTTCTTTTTAATATGACCAGAGTGAACCTCCTCTTCAGAGAATTACATGTAGACTCTCTTCCTAGAACCAATATAAATGAATTCAGAATGAAAAAATGTTTACCTTCTTTGTCCTTCCTAATGGTTCTGAATGTTCCTTTTAGCTATTACGGATTTCAAAAGCTAGATCAGTACGTGCAATAATCATGCAACTTGTTCCTTAGATTTAGGCTCACTGCAGCCATATTTTAAATCAATCCACATAAAAACTTGATCTGGTAAGAGCTCACTAACACATCCTATGTCAATAGAAATCTACCATTCATAAAGAGACAAGTCAAAAATGGAAAAATACTAATAAGCTAATTTCAGTATGTAAATTAGCATGTATTACCTCACCAGTATGAAGAAGAATTGGCTTTGGTTTATGACATTCTTTGATTTCTTCAGATGGCTTGCCCAGGATCTGGTCCCGAATTGTGTCCCAAAATGGATCTCCTACCATGTTACCTATGAGACATGTTATATTTAATATTAATTCTTCAACCCACTCAGTGGGAACACCATCATTTTCATCCAAATCTTATTACAATTATTTTGAGAGTTTCAGAGCTATCATTACAGTTGCTGCTCAATAATCCCAAAGAGTTTGAATAAGTTGTATTTCTATACTTCTTGCTCATCCTGATGAGAAAAAAATGTTTAAAAATGTAGCTATAAATATGTGATGCACTTGGCTGCCAACAGAAAGGCTGGAGGGTCAAGACCTCCCAAGGGCATCTCAAGAAAAAAACAAAAACAAAAAAACCTACTGGGGGTCTATTTCCAAAAAGGCAACCTCTGACGCATATGGAACACTATGAGTCATGGCTTGACATCAACTGGTAATGGTGAAGAAATGAGGACTTTTTATCTCAATATGTTTTTTCAATGATCAACTGGGTGGATGACTACTGGGAACCATGATGCTAAATAGATCAGATCACAGCAGTTATTTCTTAATTTTAAGTATATGTGCCTTTTAAAATAGATGCATAAATTTAAAAATTAAGAAACATACATGTATACATATATTGTTCTTAAAGAACAAAATATGAAGAACAAAAGACAAAATGCTCCCTGTAGGTAGTGTTAAAGTTTGCTCCATTTTCTCTACTTTATAATGCATATGATTTCAATGATGATGAGGATAAAGCTAAAATAATTAGGCATTTCAGTGGTAGATTTGTGGAAATAGGTACTCGGGGGGGTTGCAAAAATTTCATGGGAAAAATCCCACTATCTTCTAACTCCATTTTTAACAAACGTTTTGAAACCTTTTAGATAAGAGGTGTGGGGGACAAGTTTCAGGATCCTCAAAGCTTCTGTCTGATAAAGACTAGCTCCATTCACCAAACCAGAGGGTGGATCCTTTCCATACTGATGAAGATACAGTTCCCCTTCCTCAATTCTGTTCCAGCCCCAGCCCAAGGCATCATCTCTAGATTGAACTGGACTAAAAGAATTTGTCTCTGATTATATTTGAATTAATGGAAAGCCAACTTACAATAAATAAAAAAATAAAAGGCCAAGGAAAACCAGGGCTTATCGTGCACAAACATATAAGACCTGCACACCCCTGAGCTCATCAGTAAAAATAACAAATGTACCAACCGCAACTGAAACTTCGCAGAGACCAGGACATTGGCGGCTCGGTCCCTGGGACCTCAGATTTCATCAGCCTTCACTCACCCTGCGTAAAATTCAGGCCTCCAACTCCATCAATCGTGCCAGCTGCAAAGCTGTAACCTAGTGCTGGCTTACAGGTTTTCACCTAAAAGAAATATTTTAGAAACAAAACAAAAGTAAACCAAAATGGAAACCAAAACTAAGCTGCAAGTAAACAATGAGAGCAACCCAGAGCTGTTACTGTCGGTGACACTTACCGCATATGTGGAATTGAGCCAGACAGTGACATCTGTCATGTTCACCCACTGATGAGCACAAGCCAGGGGTCCAGTTACCTCCTGGGAGGCGGAGTCAAAGAGCTCCTAGAAAACCCACACAGGTGTGCTGTTACAGGTGTGCTGTTACTACCGTGGATCCTGCCAGACCTATCCGGTAAGTAGTTACCTGGGAAAGCACTTCTCAGCAAACGTCGTTTGTCTTCCTGGCTGCTTAGAAATAGTCCTCTACTCACATGGCTATAGCTACCAGCTTCCGTTGATTCCCAGAAGCTTCAAAGTCCCAAGACTATTCATCTACGTCTACTCACGAATATGAAATTGTAGAGATACAGGTGGTGGCACAAACTGCGTCAATGTCACTTGAAAGACAGTGGAGAAAATTTAAGATTTTCAGGACCAGCACCAGGTGCCACGGTCTTGATTCCCCCACGTGGCGACCGCATGTGCATCAAGGCAGAACAGTGTTCCGTAAGATTTTCATTACATACTTTTGTAGAAGTACATTGCCAGGCCTTTTCTACCGAGGCCCATCTGGGTAGACATCAACAGACAAGCTTAACTGTTTGCACCACCCAAGGTCTCCAAGATTAGGCGGATAAGCCAAATTAATTTCTTTGCCAGAATGTGTAGTCTTGGGTTTTCCCAGAGAGAACCCCTCTCAGAAGCTTGGGGCCCTCTGAGATGGCAAGAACCAAGAGACAGAGTGACACACATTTGGCTTATAACTCTGCATCAACCCGATGCACATCCACTCTTATTATTTTTATATAGCCAATTCACACTTTTCCATTTTTAGGATCAGTATGGATTAAAATATTTACAAACTTTACTATCGATTGCTCTTCACCAGAGGCAACTCTCGCTTCACACAAGTCCCCTTGACTGACACCTCCCTAGTCCAGGTCCTCTCTGTCCCCTTCCAGTGTCAACGGCCATGTTCAAACTCCCGAGCTATGCCATCAGGAGCACCCCCTTCAGCCCACCGCCCCTGATGAAAAGGGTGTCTGTGCCTTGCTGAGCAGAGAATCCAGGATGTGGGACGAATCACTGTGACTCCCAGGCCTATAAATGGTAACAGCATTTCTGACACCAATTATGTCCCTGCCACCCACCCTAAATAGAATCTGTTAATTTAGAATCATCCACTGATGAAACCACAGTAATTAAAAAGAAACTGCCGTAATTAAGCTGACTAGGGCTACCAATTTTCTGTTTCATTTTTTAAGGGGCTTTTGTTCCTCCTTAATTGCTCCTGAAACATTTTAGATCCTTAGAACAAAATATTTATTACACACTCATGCAACACAAACGCGTGGTCATCATTATTGTTAGCTGCTATCAAGTCAGTTCTGATGCAAAACAAAACACTGCCTGGTCCTGGAAGGAGCCTCCTGGCTGTATTTCTTTCTTCTTTTTTTTTTTTTTTTTGTTGCTGTATTTCTTTTGAGACAGGTTCGTTTGTCCTTCTAGGAGTCCGTGGTACTTTCAATAGTCTTCATCGGTACCATAACTCAAATGCATCAGTTCTCCTGATTCATTGTCCAGCTGCTACATATATAGGATATGATTCAAAATACTACTCAGGCATCCCTTAGTGCTATAAGTGGCATCTGTGCTCATTAACTCTTAACTGAGAACTTTTGCAGATTTACCTAATGCAATGAGTCATTAAAGTCTCTCTCTCTCTCTTTATATATAATTGTGATATATATAGTTATATATATCATTTCTTCATGTGCTGGCTGCCTAAGCGTCTTCTTTGGTTTGGTTCAGTGTCTTATTTATGTTCTCAAGTCACTGGGTTTATTAACTGTTGAAATTTGATCGTTGATCCAAGTAATAGGAAATTCTTTGACAACTTCAGTCTTTTCTCCATTGATTCATTGTTCCAGCTGGGAAGATTTTTATTTTATTTACATTAAGTCTCAATCCATGCTGAAGGCTGCCATCCTTGGCCTTTGATTCCTCTGTGCTTTCGGTGGGTGGGAAAGGTGGTGTCACCTGCAGCTCACAGGTTGTTAGTAGGCCTTCCTCCGATCACGAGGCCACACTCCTCTTCATAGTCCAATTTCCTCAGATTACAGAGTGAACAAGTGTGTTAAAGGGACCCACCCTGACACACCCCTTTTCTGATTTTATAATATGCAGTATGCCTTTGTTCTGTTCGTATGATGTGGTTCATGGACAGTTTCGGCATAAACACAATTCCATGCTTTGGAACGCTTGTTCTTATTTTCCATAATTTATTGTGATTCACATAGTCAAATGTCTTTGCATAGTTGATAAACACAAGGAAACTTTAAGGTTTTCTCTGCTTTTGGCCAAGATCCATCTGATATCAGCAATTATAGCCCTTTTTCCATGGCCTCTTCTGAATTGGGCTTCCATCTGGCAGTTTCTGTCAATGTACAGTTACTATCGTTGATATTCAGCAAAAATTTTACTTGCATATGATACTAATGATATTGTTTTATAATTTTTGCATTCCTTTGGGTCACTTTACTTTAAAATGGGCACAAATATGAACTTTTCCAGTTGGTTGGCCTAGTAGTTATCTTCCAAATTGCCTCACACAGACTACTGAGTTTCCTGTGCTTCATTTGCTTGTTGAAACATCTCATTGGTGGATTCCTGGACCCTTGTTTCTGCTAATGCTTTCGTTGCAGTTTGAATTTCTTCCTTTGCAATAACTATTAGTTCTTAATCATATGCTACCTCTTGAAATGATTGTATGATAACCAATTCTTTTTGCCACAGTGACTCTGTGTATTCTTCCCATCTGCTTTTGATGCTTCCTATATTGTTCAATATTTTGCCCATAGACTCCATCATCATTGCAACTTGAGTACTTGATATTAAATGTACCGTATATACTCAAATATAAACCAACCTGAAAATCAGCCTAGGCACCTAAATTTACCACAAAAACTGCATTAAAAATGTGATGAAAAACTCGGCTTATACACGAGCATACACGGTACTTCCTGTAAGACGTCAGATCCAAGCTTTTGGAGAGAGCCTCTTGTGTAACTCATGAAAGCAAGCCCCCTAATTGATTTGTAATTGTATTCAGTCTTGCAGATTCCCACGCTCAGCCTGATCTCTAACTGTCTAGTAACTATCGACTTCATAATAAATAGGACCCCTGGTGGTGTAGTGGTGATGCGTGGTGTTGCGATCTGAATGGTCAGCGATTTGAAACCTCCAGCAGCAGCTCTGAGAGAGAAAGACGGGGCTTTCTACTCCTGTAAACAGTTTCAGTCTTGGAAATCTACCGGCGGTTGCTATGAGTCAGTATTGACTCGATGGCAGCGAACTGGGTTTTGTCTGGTCCTCATAAATAGTGTAAGGAGCCCTCCCGTCCTAATGTAGCCTAACCCTTTAGGCTACTAGCCACAAAGTCAGCAGTTGTAATCCACTAGCCACTCCTGTGGAGAAAGACGACTCTTTCTGTCCCCGTAAAGATTTACAACCTAGGAAAACCCAAAAGAGGCATTTCTGCTCAGCCCTGCTGGATCACTAGCAGTTGGACCCAACTCAATGGCAGTGAGTAAATGAACAAGGTCGGTGTATTTGAAGGAATAATTTCCAATGCCGGTGAATGGAACAGGGCCCAGGACTTACATACCTTGGCTCTCTGAAATATGGATCGACCTATAATTTGTGTGCTTTCAAGCATATCCTTTCCAGGTCCCATAGCCATGCACTTGCTGGGCTGGAGCAAAGCAAGAAAAGATACATTTTTTACCAAAATCTAAGCAACTATTTTAAGGAATGGAACATTACAAGTGAACCTAAACAAACTGATTTTTTTAAACCACACTATAGTATTTCTTTCAGAAATTCCCTCAGCTTACAAAATAGGAAAAACAAATAATGCAAAGAATTGGAGCAGTGAAAGTCCAGAAGCTCTCTATTCCAGCACCTTCTTTCAATAAGAAAATTGAGGCTCAGCAGGGTTAGAGGATTTAGTGACACAGGAGCTAAGGCTCAATGTCAGGTGATTCTGTTTCCCAAAATCTTCCTACTTAGTGTGCTTTTGCGATTCTTGCACATAATCCTCTTAAACTGAAAGTGAGCTAAAACAATATTGGAACAACTATACATTTTGAGAAAATTATTGAATACACTTGGCTCTAAGTATTGTCACATTAAAAAAGATGGGCATTGATCAAATGCTTAAATATTATAAATAAAATGCATAGATAAATATGTACAAAGAGCCACAAGAGTAGTAAATTCTGGGATGAAGAGAGTGTTAAAGGAAGTGAAAAGAGACTTTTACTTTTTATTAAACTTTTTTTTTGTGGTGGTGGTGGGGTAAAAGAGATGATGTCAAGAGTCTATGCAGGAAAAAAATGTCTGGAAACTGATTGTGGTAGCAATTGTACAATTCTACTTGATGTGACTGAACTATGAAATGACACATAGATTAACTCCCAATTAATAATAAAGACAAATAAAATAAAACTCTTATTCCAAAGAGGAAGCACCCCCAAAATAAAATCATTAAAAAATAAAAACTTGTTAATGTGATCTGAGTGAAAGCTCACAGTGCAAGTTGCAGGTTGGTTTTCTGTTCAAAAATTCATATGCCTCTTGTTTCTTGACATTGATTGCAATCCCCACCATATAACCACCTCTCAGCACATCCTCCCTGTGCTTCGCATTTCCCTTGTCCTATTGTCATATCCTCTCCTGCCTCCTGAGTTTTATCCCTGCCTTTCTCATCTCATATGGTTGATTGTTCCAAGGCACCCTGGTTTACCTGATAAGCCTATCCTTTGACAAAAAGTTGAGCCATAAGGATGAGTTGGATTCCAATTTTTAAAGGCATTTAAGGGTCAGAGTTTGGGTGGTTCCACCACTCTCCATCAGAAGAGTAATTGTTGTTCCAAATTTCAGAGAGTGGGGAGAATAAATAACTAAGTAGAGGGTTGACACATATTAACTTGGGTGAAAAGAAAGGCAATATACAAGAAGGGGAGGTTGGCACAAAATAATGAAGGCAAAGGAAGTCACTATGAGACGTTAGGAGATGCACAAGTTCAAGTCAAAAAGGTGATTACTATTCCACACACAATCTTGTAATAAAAGAAATGACCATAATCTCAAGTGGACACCAAGATCGACACAAGCTGAACAAGTGTGAGAAGGCAAATGGAATTAAGCCTATGAATGCATATGTGCGGCAGTAACTCTTTCTACATCTGTATTTATATGTGCTACAAATAGATATGTGAATTGCTGAAGACAAAATGGGTGTTAAGCAAATGTAGTGAAGAAAGTGGATGGTGACTGGCTATTAAAAGATATAGCATCTGGCGTCTTAAAGGCTTGAAGTTAAACAAGAAGATATCTAGCAGAAGAGCAACAAGCCCACATGGAAGAAGCACACCAGCCAGTGCAATCATGAGGTGTCATTGGGATCAGGTAACAAGCATCAGAAGACCCATAACAAATAAACAAACAAAAAACATATTGTTGAGAACAAGGGTGTGTCGTAGCAGAGACCCAAAGCCCATCTGTAGACAGTGGAACATCCTCCCACAGAGAGGTCACAGGGAAGGGACGAGTCAACCAGGGTGCAGTAAAACACCAGTGAAACACACAATACTCCTCTGGTTCCTTGAGGCTTCCTCAACCCCCACTATCATGACCCCAATGCTGCCTCTCACTTCAGACTAGACTGGAGCTTGTACACAGGTACAGATAAGAGAGAAGAGCTCACGACACATGAAATCCAGGAACAGGAATGCGAATAGCCACACAAGAAGGGTAAGGGAAGAGGGGGAAGGTTAGGAAGGGGGAATTGATAGCAAAATCGACACACAATCACACACACACTTCCAACAACAGAAACCATGGGAGAAGGGAGACAGCGGTCAGTGGGGGATATGAAAATAATAATAATTTATAATCTATCAAGGGGTCACAAGAGAGGGTGAGGGAGGGAAAAAAGAGAAGTTGATCCCAAGGGCTCAATTGAAAGTAAATGTCTAGAAAACAATGATGGCAACATATGTACAAAAAGGCCTGATACAATTGATGTATGGATTGTAATAAGTTTTCTAAGAGCCCCCCTAAAATTATATTTTAATTTAAAAAATAGATATGTGAATATAATAGAGCATACCAAACCAAACTCACTACCATCGAGTCAATGCTAACTTCTTGAGACCCTATAGGACCGGGTCGAAGTGCTCCTGTGGGTTTCTAAGACTGTAACTCTTTACAGGAGTAGACAGCTCCATTTTTCCCTTGCTAGAGGGGATAGTGGTTTTGGACTGTTGACCTTGCACATCACAGTCACTGATTAACTACTATGCCCCAGGGCTCCCATAGGACAGCATACAGAGGACAAAATTGGAACATTTTCTTAGCTATAAACAAGCAACTTTGAGGGAATGAGTTGCTGGGCCTGGGAACTCACAATCATAGTCTCAGGGGACACTACGGTCAATTGGCATACAGCAAAGACATTATTTTGGTGAGTAGCCACTGGGGGTCTTAAAAACATAGGGTGCTGACCTCCTCCCTGGGGGACAGACAACTGAAAGGTGGTTGAAGGGAGACGTCGGACAGGGCAAGAAATGACAAAATACC